TGAGATGATGGTTAAATATATGTAAATCTCAATGTGCTACATCACATTAATAGAATGAAAGAAAAGAATCATATAGTCATCTCAATAGATGGGAAAAAGCATTTGAAAAAATTCCCCATCCATTCATAATAAAAAGTCTTAACAAATTGGGCATAAAATGATCATATCTCAACATAATAAAGACTATATGTGACAAACCCACAACTACCATCATATTTAATGTTGAAAAGTTGAAATCTTTTTCTCTAAGATCAGGAATAAAACAAGGTGCCTATTCTCAGCACTCCTATTCAACATAGCATTAGAAGTCCTAGCCAGAGCCATCAGGTAAGAAAAAGAAATAAAAGTTATCAGAATTGGAAAGTAAAAAGTAAAACTGTCTCTATTTGCAGATGACATGATTTTATACATAGAAAATCCTAAAGACTTAATCAGAATATTGTTATATGTAAGCAATGAGTAAGACAAGTTTTCAGGAAGCAAAATTAACATACAAAAATTAGTAGTGTTTCTATACACTAAAAGTTAATTTTCTGGAAAAGAAATAAGTCAGTCCCATTTACAAAAGCATCAAAAAGAATATAATATTTACAGATAACTTTAAGGAGGTGAAAGATCTCTAATATGAAAACTATAAGACACTGATGAGAAAAATCAAAGAAAACACAAACAAATGAAAGGTGTCCTGTGTTCGTGGATTAGAAGAACTAGTATTGTTAAATTGTCAATACTACCAAAAGATATCTATAAATTCAATGCAATCACTATCAATATTCCTATGGCATTTCTTATGGAAGTAGAAGAAACACTCCCTAAACTTACAAGGAACCGCAAAAGACCCTGAATACCCAAAGAAATCCTGAGAAAGAGAAAAAATTAGAGGTATCACACCTCCAGATCTCAAGCTGTACTATAAAGCTATAGTCATCAGAACAGTATGGTACTGGCAAAAGCAAAACAAAAAAGACCAAAGGAACAGAATTGAGAGCACAGAAATAAATGCAAGCATATACAATCAACTGATATTTGACAAGACAGCCAAGAATACTCAGTGGAAAAGATAGTCTCTTTAGTCCTGGGATAGTTGGATATTCTGATGTGACAGAACGAAACTGGATCCTTATACCATTCACAAAAATTAACCCAAAGTGGATTAAGTATTTAAATGTAACATCTGAAGCCATGAAACTCCTAGAAGAAAACAGGAATAAGGCACCTTGATGTAAGCCTTGGTAATGAGTTTTTAGATGTGAGACCTAAAGCACAAGCAGCAAAATGAAAAATAAACGGATGGAACTACATCAAACTGAAAAGCTTCTGAACAGGAAAATAAACCATCAGCAAAGTGAAAAGACAACCCACCAAAGGTGGAAAAATTACAGACCATGTATTTGCTAAGGGGTTAATATCCAAAAGATATAATGAACTGACATAATTCAAAAATGGGCAAATAAATTTTTAAATGGGCAAAGAACCTGAACAGACATTTTCCAGAGAAAACATACAACTAGGAGACGACCAAATTTACAATGTGATTGTTACCACACATGCATTTGTAATAATCTTCTTCATAGTCATGCCAATCAAAAAGCCAACAGGTACATGAAAAGATGCTCAACATCACTAGTCATTAGGTAAATGCAAAATAAAAACTATTAGAATGGCCATTATAAAAAAGATAAGAGATAACAAATAGTGTGGATGTGAAAGAAAAGAATGTGTATGCTGTTGGTGGGAATGTAAACTGGTACAGCCACTATGGAAAGGAGTATGGAGGGTCCTCAAAAAATTAAAAATAGAACTACCATATGATCCAGCATTTCCACTTCCGAGAATATAACAAAGGAAATGAAAACACTTACTCAAAAGATATCTGCACCCCCATGTTCATGTCAGCATTTTTTACAAAGGCAAAGACAGGGAAACAACCAAAGTGTCCATCAATGGATGAATGGATAAAGAAGTTGTGACACACACACACGGGAATATTACTCAGCCATAGAAAGAGGAATTCTATGATTTGAATGGACCTGAAGGCATTAGGTTAGGTGAAATAAGTCAGGCAGTGAAAGACAAATACTGTATGATCTCATTTATATGTGGAAATGAAAATTAAATCAAAACAAAACAAGAAAACCAGAAACCCCACCAAAAGAGATCAAACTTGTGGCTACCAGCAGCGAACAGCAGGGGCAGGGGAACTGGAGGAAGGGGAAGGTAATCAAAAAGCACAAACTTCCAGTTATGACATAGATGAGTACTAGGGATGTAATGTACAACGTGATGACTATAGTTAGCACCAATGTGTGATACATAGCAAAGTTACTAAGAGTTAATGCTGAGTTCTCATCACAAGGAGAATTTTTTTTCCTTTTTTTCCTTTTCTTTTTGTTGTCTCTATAGAAATGGATGTGAGGGGACCCTATTATGGTAATCATTTCATAGTAAACTGTCTTGCCATTAACCTTTATTTGATAAAAGTATGCATGTCTATTATTTCTCAATAAAACAGGAAAAAAAGAAAAAATATTCCCTTAGGCTTTCCTTCATATGTTGATTTCCTAAATGGGCACGTTACATTTCTGATCCATTCTTGCCTGTTTTCCATGTTTCTGCTTTGTGTTGTACTTTCTGTGAGAACTTGTCAACTTTATCTTCTAAACAGTCTGTGTTTTGCTTGCTGTTATTTTTTTTAATAGCCTCACTTTTCATTTCCTAGATATACTATTTTATTGTCTTCAAGATAATCCTACTTTTTGTAGTTATAGTCTCTTCTCTGAATTTTATCTGGGTTTCTGAGTTTCTTTTAATTATTTGCTCGCATGTTAGTTTTGTTGTCTTTCATGATAGAAGCTTTCTTCAAAGAGTCCATCATATTTTGGAAAGAGGCACTGAAAGGAGAAGTGGGAGCTCTGTCCATCTGAGTGATGCTGTTTGACTAGTGAATTCACTGGAGGAAGACTGAGGGCAAAAACCAGACTGTTGGTCTGAGTGACTCACAGTTGTCAGTCTCTAGATATTTTATCTTTGGTTAGTGTGTTTCTCCATGAGAATGGAGAAAAGTCAGCTTGCTTTTTGTGGCTTCCTCTGTGTAGACACTTAGACTTATGGTTTAGCTTTCTCCTCTGTGGATGGTCTCTGTGTTTTCAATATTCTAAAAGTATGTTGGCAATCATCTCCTATTGTTTCATGTCCTTCAAAAATAAATACATATATATTTATTGTCATATTTAGAGAGTAGCCTTTATGGAAAATAAAGTAACAAGCTGTACCGTGAGGGATGTCTACCCTTCAATTCATCTTCTGAGTGTAGATTGATAGGGGAGAAAAGGAGGGAGAGAAACCTTCTAAAGAAAGGGAAAGGAGAGGGAAAATTGGCTACTATGATGCATATGAGTGCAGGGACAATCTTGTTTAGTCATCTGTCTACACATTTTCCTAAGAATATTGTTTGTTCTTTAAGGGAGTGTAAAGGACTAATTAAACTAAATAGATGGAGTACCTTGATAAAACACTCTTGGCTCTTTGAGTCAACTTATTCTAATATCTGATATCCCAACTACTCATATCACATGGCTACTTATATGAAACCAGTGAATTGATAATATGTGACACTTTGATGAAAAGTATAATGTAAGAGTTGGTATTATTAGGAAGGACAAGAATTGAAGATACCTTTCTTCATAATGTAAGTTGTATTAGAGATTCTTAATTTTATTGAAGAATGAAGTAATGAAATTGTACATAATAAACAAAAATCAGGTTTTCACTTAGTTTCACTGGTAGACTAATTCAAATGTAAGTGACTTTCCAGTTGTTGGCAGGACTACCATGGGAATGTACACTTATATGTACATTTCGGAGTTTGAAAGATTGAATTTTTATACTTTTATGACCATAGTGGAGTTATGAAAAACATTTCATTTATTTATGTCTCTAAGTAAGTTTCAAATGAATATTTTTTTTGTTTGTTTTACAACTTCAACTTCTTTACATGCAAAAAAATTGTCAGTATAAAACTAGTATGTGGTCATTTTAGAAAATCTGGGAAAAATGCAAACATAAAAAAATTATAAGAACTCAATTATGCCACTGCTCAAGGATAACTATTATAATTTGGTTTAGTTATTTCTCCCAAACATACAATGGAGACCTTAGTACTTTTTAAATTCACTGTAGTGTGCAGTTTCCCCACTTCATTAAATAGTCTTTGAAAATTTTAATTTGAATGATAGCACACTTGTCTTGAGTCCTACATTAAAAAACATTTGATTTTATTAAGCCCAGTATCTCCATTGGTCATTCCCTCTAAAATCCACCACTTAGGAGTAAGGGGTTGAGGAGGCCTAAGATTGAAGAGGTGAACACTGAAGTGTCTGAGTGGGGCCAGCAGGGGTTGCTGTCCTGGATGAGGCTGCCACATTCCTGGTGTTTCTGACCTTGAATTCACTCAAAATTATAGTCTGGATTCTATTAAAGGAATTTCGTGTTTTTCTTTTGCAAGAGTCACCCCCTACCATGACAAATATTTTTAAACGTTTTTTTAAAAAAGTTGGAAAAGCGACTTTTTCCCAAAAGAAATTTATAGTTCAAATTTACACCAAGTTCTCACTAACTGGAGCAGGCCGGGTTTTCACTAAGGCTTCGACTTTCCTCTGTAAAACATTAGTCACTCCCTTGGAAGAAGCAGTTTTTTATAGGCAGTGGGATAAAACAGGCACAGATGTGCATGTAATATGATGGGCTTTAGAATGTACCTGCAAAGCATTTTTATTTTAATTTGGAGAAATAAAGAAAGAAAAAGACTGAATTGGGATGCTAAAATAACAGTGATTCAGTATTAAGGAAATGATAAGTTTTGATCCATTTAAATAGTATTTTCTTTTCCCTTTCCTTTATTCTTGGGAAGTTGTTGAGGTTGTGCCAAGTCATTTTCACTGCACAATTTTTAAAGGCATTCACTATTCCCGTGTGTAATCAGTTGCCTTTTGACTGTGCAGGACTGTGGTGACGCCTGTGGCCAAAGAGTTTGATCCAGACGTGGTCCTAGTTTCCGCTGGATTTGATGCATTAGAAGGCCATGCCCCACCTCTGGGAGGTTACAAAGTGACAGCAAAATGTAAGTATAGGACTGTATGAAATGCTATGACATAATAACATCTTTTAGTTCTTTAAAACAGTACCTTTTACATATGTGTGGTCAAATTACGTACTTTTGAAAATGAGTCAGATGGTGTTTACTGCTCTGTCAGATTCATCTCTCTGTAGAAATTGGCCTTGAAGAAAAACAAAGTCAAATTGTTTCCTTTGCTAGACTTCATGGGACATTTCAATAATGTTATATTTTTCAGAAGTCCCATTTTGCTATTTAAAGCCAGAAGTGATAGGGCTTCTGTTCAAAATATGTTAAATGATTTGGGAGGTTAGGAGTCGAGAAAAGCTACTGGGTTTTTTTGCAAGGAGAATGGAAGTCACTGTTTTTAATCCATTAAGCATGGGTTGAAACAGCTCTCTCCCTAGCACACTATGCTCTACTAGGTTTGAATACAAAAGTGTGGTTTCAGGGGCTCAGCGGCACTGTGCAGGCCCATGGGCAGCACTCAGGGTCTCTACTGGTCTTGTGCTGTGTTACAGAGATTCAACTTTTGGGCTTTGTTCCCTAATGAACAAGTGAATTTTGTGTTATACTTCATTTGAGTAATGTGACCTAATGGAATCCGACTAGAAAGAGTCTTTCTTTAAAAATAATTTCTATGCGGAGTGTGAAAACAATACATATGTATGGTCCATGTATATACACATGCATGCTGGTACTCAGGATATCTATTTTAAAGAAAAGGAAACAAGTCAAAGTACATAAAGAACAGACCCCACTATTGTATATTTGGAGTGGGGGGGGGGGGCTTGAAAACAAACTAATCAAAAGAATCCAAAGAGTTTTAAGTGGGAGAGACAAGTTTGAAGCAAGTGTGTTTTATTAATTTGAAAAGAACTGAAGAACTAGCCTCATGCCAACCTTTGTTTTTAGTTGGCTTCTCATGTGAGAAAGTTTTCTGCACTCTTATTGTTCCAGTAACATTGTTAGGTAGGAGCTATTTTTAACATCTATTATTTACCCAGCAATCTTGGTGCCTTGTTGTCTATTGAAAACATATTAAAAGAGGCAACTCCACAAACACAAACAAAGCATAATAGTTCACAATTTTGATAAATTGAAATAGAGAGGTGTTTGGTCATATCTAATGTCTTACAATTCTTTCTTCATGAAACTCCACTCAAAGGGAAATCAGTCTTTCTACTGCAGATAAACTTCATTTGAGTGAAGACTAGGAATAGTTTAGTCTAAATAAAGAAAAGAAAACGAGTACCCCAAATTGAGATAAATCCAAACAATAGAAAACATATGGAGCACAGTTAGAAATCTGGTAAAGGTGTTCCTTGCCATTAAATCCAAGAATCTCCCTCAGGGAGGAGGAGGAATGTCTGTATTCAGGTCTTTTTCCCTGTCAAGAGGCCAAGTGGTAACAAGTCCATTTCTCAGAACTGCTTGGAAGGAACTAATCTTTTTGTTTGCTTGTTTGTTCATTTTCTGCCAAGTCAAGTTCAAATATTAAATGTTGGAAGGCCGAATAGAAAGTAATCGTAGCCTGGTTTCTTTTGATTTTTCATCATAGATGTAAGAAACATGGTTTCTACCTTCTGTTAGCTTCAGTATAGTGCACCAAGACCTTCATTATGTTACGTTGTATTTCTTTATTCATGTGTGTATATTATATCATGCAGGCCTGAGTTTGCCAACTACAGTTTTTAGAGATGCTGCCACACTGAGGGTAGAGGTTAGGATATCCCAAAACCTGTATAGTTACTCCCTAAATGGTTCACCTCGGGGTTTTTTTTTTTGCTTGGCAGATGCATATTTATTATCTTGGTCTGAAAATGCCGGACAGGTAATTAATATTGGGCTTTCACTGTCCCATAGAAGTCATCCTCCTTTGGAGGGAGTCCCAGAATGGAACTAGAAATGGACTAAAAGCTAAAGTAAAAAGTAGGTAGAAATTACAGATACAGATTCCTCTCCCAATGTTCTGGCAAAGTCATCCCTGCCCACCCCCAAGTAGAATATTTGAGGATTTAGAGACTGGTTTTTAAGATACTATCATATCAGATATGCTAAAATTGTACTGTCTTAAACAATGAATAAATCTTTTAAAATAATTTTGCTTAATATCTCTGAACGGAAAAGAAAAATTTAGTCAAAATAACAAATGTTTTCATTTTTTTTAAATATCCATATAGCTCCTGATATTTTTTAAAGAATTGGTCAATACTATGACAAAAGTCTCAGCCCAAATATAGAGGAGACTTAGAGTGTTCTCTGCCATGAGACCACAGCAAAAATGTTCAGATTTGTTTGTGTTGAAGTTTTCATTAAATTACCTGATTTAGTTATTTTAAATCTATGTTACTCTTTCGATTAACCACCAGGATTAAGGCCCACACTGAAAGGGACAGGTGTCTTTGTGTCCTGGACAAACCCTACACCAAATTTTATACTGAAGTTATCAGTTAATCTTAATACTCTCAAGCTCGTTGTCTTCAGATTACAGTTTAAGATGTGGTACATATACACAATGGAATATTATTCAGCCATAAGAAGAAACAAATCCTACCATTTGCAACAACATGGATGGAGCTAGAAGGTATTATGCTCAGTGAAATAAGCCAGGCAGAGAAAGACAAGTATCAAATGATTTCACTCATCTGTGGAGTATAAGAACAAAGAAAAACTGAAGGAACAAAACAGCAGCAGATTCACAGAACCCAAGAAGGGACTAACAGTTACCAAAGGGAAAGGGACTGGGGAGGATGTGTAGGAAGGGAGGGATAAGGGGAAAAGGGTCATTATGATTAGCACACATAATGTAGGTGGGGGGCATGGGGAAGGCAGTATAGCTCAGAGAAGACAAGTAGTGATTCTATAACATCTTACTATGCTGATGGACAGTGACTATAATGGGGTATGTGGTGGGGACTTAATAATGGGGGGAATCTAGTAACCACAGTGTTGCTCATGTAAGTGTATATTAATGATATCAAAATAAAAAAAAGAAGGTTGGCAAGTGCCATGTTCAAACAGTAAAATTGATTCATCATATTGCAGCACTCCTTGGCTTTACAGTGTTCTCAACATAAAAAGAAGTAAAAGTTATTTAGTTCAAATTATTTTTACAGAAAAAAATATTTTTATTCCTTTTCAGTACTTCCATTGGCTTCAGGTAGTGAGCTCATATGTGCAAATTGCTTTTCTAATGTGAATAAGAATCTTCCTTCCTTTGGAATAATGCAAATGTCATTGTGAGATGATAGTGATGTCAAATTAAAAAATACGTTCCTTTTAGAGGCATAGTGTTTTATAGTCCTTGAGATAGTAACCATTTCCCTCAGCAAATATGATTTATTTTGAAAAGTAAAATATAGGTAATAGTTGGGGGACTATATCTTAGAGTCTTGAATTACCAGTCTTCTTGATAGAGTGTTTTATCCTTTTTAGGGATCCTTTTATTCCTTGTACTCACCTGTGAATGTCTGACAGAGAGACAGCTCCATTGTAGGGCAGATATCTGTATTAATGAATTCGTATATAGCTGTGAGTTTTTTCTGGGGAGGTAGAAAACTTGATTAGTTAATCCTCTGAAAAGTGTCTAAGAAGTTGAGTGCTAAACCAATGAACAAATAAGTACCAAGAAATAAACTTTGTTAAATGTATAAGCCTATGTTGGTCTACACTATCTGCTAATGATGGATGGATGTGCTTCCTCCTCTGCATATACAGGGGTGTGCAGCTCAGAATGTCCTCTGCTTACACATTTTCCTTGTCCACAGAGTTGAAGGCAGACTGAGTGAAAACTAAGTACAGTTTAGTGAAGTTAACTTGTTTCTTTCTTTTTTCTCTCTTACTGATGATTCTACACCTACTTTAATATGTCCACATATGTCCTGTATCCAATTTTCTTGACATTAAACTTGAACACATTCAATCGTGTGTTTTATATATTACCTGATTATACTTTTTTTTTTTAATGAGTGTTGTTCAGCTACTGTCACAGTTCTGTTTGGCAGTTCCGTCTTTTATTATTTATTGGTGATCGTGGAATCGATACTTTGTCTTTTCATAAAAGACTTGCAGGCTATAGCAAACAGACATGGAAAAAGCAGTGTCAGGAAGACACCTACCAAATGTTGCCTCATGAAGGATCAACCTTAAACTTGAATTGCTATAGTTCTTTTATATTAGGGTGGAAACTGGGAGAATATCATGCAGGATTGACTATCCAAAGTATCTTCCCATCCAGCTGCCATCAGATTAACCTCTCTTACATGCTTCTGTACTGTGTCCTCAGGACTGGGCCACAGGCATGGCACATAGTCTAACCAACTTCTTTTAAAAAATGAATAATACTAAAATCATCTTAAAATGGTTTTTTAAATAAGTCAGATGCTTTCTTCCAGTATATTTGATGTTATTTTAATTAAGATTTTGTGATTTTTTTTTTGTAGTTTCTATCCCCCCATCACTGCCACTTCTTTCCAGGTCTTACACTATATATTCATATCTCCTATAATATTTTAATTAGCAAAACCCCGTGTTTCTGACAAATGGTCACTTATTCAGTGTTTCTCTTTAATAGAAATAGGACTGAAAAGAAAATAAGTATTAAATGGGGAAGTCTTGAACTCCATGTAAGAGTGAGCTTTGGACAAAAGTACTGAGTCCCAGCTGTTAACACCTACTAGAATCTAGATGGGGTGATAAGACATCAAAAGAGCAGGGCAGTGGGAGAGTCAATACTTTAAATAATAAAGCTGAAATAAACATGAAAAATTAGAGATTGCTGAAGAGCTCATTTTGGTGTCAGAAAATCTATGTTCAAATCTCAACTTTGTCCCTCACTAATTTTATAATCAATGCACTTTCTTAAACAGCAAAAAAAAAAAAAAAAAGAAAATAGTGGGAGAGTAGGAAGATAATAATTACACCTACAGCATAAGGAATAATGATTAAGCATTACGATTTAATAGTTTTGAATTTTATTGTTGATGTCATTTCAACAATTGTGA